TTTAGTGGCTTGGAGGCAAACACTTGCTAAATTAGAGGATATTAAGAACCTTTTTACCCCTGAGTATGGGGAAGTGTTTTTGAAAACTTGACTGATATGGTTGAAGAATAATTCAGTTTATAAAAACACAACCTCATTTCACAATAGACTGTTTCCTACGAGGGTTCTGCTCAGTGTCACAGCGACGGGTGGGGAGGATGTCTGTGTGACATAGATTGAGATTATTCATGAATTTGGCAAAGCGTTACAATCCACAATAGTAAGCGTTTGAAAATGTGTTTCTCTTCAGTGCCACTCCATTTAGTTCTGTTCTTGTTATAAACGAGGAAGTTGCATAGCGCCTCTTAGATCTAACGTCATTTATCACTCCTCTCTCTTTTCTATCCTTTTAGTTCAAGAGTCACAAATAAAATGCCATTAGCTATTTTCATCAAGTCATAGGAAATCTGTGTAAGGTTGGGTCGTTCTATATTCTGCACACCTGGCTATTAATAGGAAATCCAGGAAAACATGTGTGTTTTTCTAGGAAGAGAAGGTGGTTGATGCAAGGGCTTCCAGCCTTTCTGGTGCTGATGACAACGTGGATTCTGTTTTCTTGCCAGATTCAGGAACAGAGGGGGCCTGCCGGATTGGAGGTCAGACCAAGGCTGAGCCTGGTGATCTGACATGAATGACTTACCTCCTCAGGAAAGACTTAGGAGAAAAGAGCGGAGTGGTGAGCAGCATGGTGGCAGGTTCTGGGGTTCCGGGCCGCTGCCCACTGTCCTGGCCACACGCAGCCCCGGGCGAGCGGGTGTGACCGAGGCCTCGGAGGCCTGTGTATCGTCGGGGAGGCTGGTGAGCCGCGAGTGCCTCGTGTGTCCGTGAAAGGAGAGTGTAAGCACAGTGCTTGCCTGTTCAACCAAAGGCAGCGTCCACCGTCTACACTGACCACAACAGGGCTGGAAAACCCCGGAGCAGCTCCCGGGCACCAGCGGGCCGTACTCTGACCCCCCAGCTGAGCGGCCTCTTTGCGGTTTTAGAACAAGCCGCCTAGTGCCTCGTCGGGCGACATCACCTTCCACCACGGAGGCGGGCTGTTTATCAAGGATGTGAAGTGGCTCCTAGGCGCAGAGGGGGCCAAACCTGGTTAGGTCAAGAAGCGGTGTCAGGGTCACGGCCGCACCGACTGAAAGCCATCTCCAGGTGCCTTGGAAGTTCCTCAAAGAGCACAAAGTGAAGAGGGGTAAACTCCGTCTGGTTATATTTAAAGGAAACCAAATTAATGTCTTGTATGTTGAAGACCAAGTATTTTCAACCGTCCTTCGAGTAAACCCAGTTGGTGTGAATTTCCCAAGAAGAGTTAGCTGTAAAACATTCTCGAAGTTGGGAAGAAAATTGGAATGTAAAATGCACATAATAATAAGTTTCTGGCCAGACGGTTTTTTAAAAATAGCAAGTAGAGATGAGAGGATGTAATACCCCAAATGGCCTTTGCTACCAGTACTTTTCAGGGTTTCTTTCTGGGGCAATCTGCAGCTCTGGCTAGCCCTCCAACTTCTACATTCTCTGTAGCAAAAATGTTCCAAGGGCAGTATTCTTCTGGAGCCTCTGTCGTGACCTTTAACCATTCTTAAATTCTTTTAGCATCAGTGGTCTTGAAAACACAACAGCAGAAATTAATGAAGATCTAGTGAAAGTGGGCCTTCGCAGGCAGCGCTAGTGGTAAAGAACCCGCCTGCACATGCAGGAGACATAGTGAGACGCAGGTTCAACCCCTGGGTCAGGAAGATCCCCTGGAGGAGGGCATGGCACCCCACTCCAGTGTTCTTACATGGGATTCCATGGGCAGAGGAGCCTGGCGGGCTGCAGTCCTTTGCGTTGCAAACAGTCTGACACGACTGAAGCGACTTAGCATGCACGCACACTAGCACACGCTAGCGAAAGTGTAACAGTCATGAGAACATGCTTTCAAAAGGCCTGCCCCTGAAATGGGCGCCTCGTCAGCATGCAGAGCAGGACAGTGAGGGACTGGTCTGGCGCCCGAGATAACGCAGGGCATCGGCTCACACGTGGGTTCCTCGGGAAAGAGTGCTTTCCAATAGAACCAGGGAGAAAGTTCTCAGGATGTATTCACGTGCTGACAGCCACACTTTCACGCCCCCGAAGCCACACATCACTACATACATGACATCATCATTCTACCAGCCAGTAAGACATACCATTTAAGAATCCCGAGTAAGGGTCGTCGACATCTGTACGGATTCTGACTGGTGGCATATTTGCCATCACCAACATTTAAAAGTGACAGTATGAAGGGCTTCAAGGACGACATTTGGCTTCTCCCTTCTGTAAAATTGAAGCATTCATACTTTCCCTTGGATTTCTTTTGTCATTCTGGGAAGAATTGTCTCCTATCGATAAAGGGTTCTCACTGAGCAGGGGAATAGCCTAGCAGGCATCACAACTCCTCTGGAAGGTTTAGAAATACAACGGCAGTGAATCGAGTGCACATCTCTAGTTTTATTGCTTGCAAAGGCCCATTTTTCAGGTCCACTTACATAAGCCTGTGCATTGAGATAATTGCATAATCTGGTTTTAAAAAAAAATCTTTGAATTGCTGCCCACACGATACAACACTTTTCTGTAGTTGCTGAGCTGCGCAAATGCTTGCAGATGGTCCATTAGAAGAAGACAGGGTCTGCTGTTCACCAAGAAAATAAGAAGATGTAGCCATGAGACAGAGAAGACAAAGGAACAGAGTGAGCCAAGAGGTCTGGGTTCTAACCCAAAACGTGATCCTGAGCAAAGTGCTGGTGCTTCCCGGTGGGAGGTGTCCGCAGCTCTCAGAGGAGGTGCTGGGTGAGGGTCTGTAGTGGGGTCTCAGTGGGGCAGCTCCTGCAGGCAGGGGACCTTTGCATGGAGCCACCCGTGGGACACAGTGTTAGGTGTTGGAAACAGACAAACAAATGACCTGTCCAGGGGTTGAAAGTGAAAGTGTTAGCTGCTCCATCCTGTCTGGTTCTTTGGGGGCCCATGGACTGTAGCCCACCAGCGTCCTCCGTCCGTGTTCTCCAGGTAAGAATACTGGAGTGGGTCGCTAGCTCCGCCTCCAGGGTTAGCCACAAGCCAACCTGACGCTCCTCAGCTTGTGCATGTCCTCAAACCCCGAGAAGCCCCCAGTGCAGATGAGCCCTGCCGTCCCATCCCTAGTCCTGCTGGGAGGGGAGGGTGGCCCTCTCTATAGCTTGGGCTGAGGGTCAGCATCATTTAGAATTTTAGCTGAGACATCAGAGAGAAAGAAAGAGAAGGAAGGAGAGAGAGGAGGAGGGAATTGGGTGAGTATGCGGCCAACATATTCAACTTCCCCGACCCATGGGACATCACCCATGCTCACATGCCTGGGTCAGTTTACCCTGACACCCAGCTTTACAGGAGCACCGATGCGTTAGGACTCTGTCTGAGGCAAGCGGGTGTGCATGCGGGACTCAGGCACGAAAAGAAGTCATCTTGTCTTGATCCTCGAGGGATGATGGTAGAAGGGGGACAGTCACACGGACCCTTCCCCCACCTTGACCCCCCAACGCCTCTGGGCAGCAGGGGGGATCACCCTTCTTGTCAGGCTCCTGGTCCCTGCTGCAAAGTGGATGCTGTGTTGATTCAGTGTCTGTGAGTAGGGATACAGTGATGGAAGACTTCCTGCGGGGACCCCAAAATAGAAAGCCCAGGGGAACCTGTCTCATTCCCACAGAGGAGAAAGGAAGTCTGGCTTGGCAGCTTGGGGAGTGAGTAAATCATGCATTTTTGGTAATTCCCAACAAAACAAACGAGTGTGATGTTGAGGGAACCTTCCTCATAGAATATAAATCTCTGCCATCATGCTAGTCTGATTTACGTTCCAGCCTTGAGGCTGATATTCTTTTAAGGGTAACAAAGATCTTTTTAAAACAAGAATAGTTTGCAGACAGTCATCTTTCTGCCCTCACGGTGACTACTACCTGTCACCATGGGCCTGACACACAGTTCTGAACCCCATGCTGGGAGCCTGTTGTTGAGGAAGCTGGCAGGAAGACAGGGCTCCTACAACCCTGGGATCTCAGATCAGGGGTAGAGCCAGCACGCCCCCGCACTGGAAGCAGAGTCCTAACCACTGGCCCTCCAGGGAATTCCCACCCCAGGTTTCTGGGAGCACCAATCACCCCAGCCCTGGCTGCACCTTGACCCGGGCCTACGGGCCTGATCGGGGTGGGGACTCTGCTAGCATCAGCCTCCCCTGGCGTCTGCAGTCCAGTCCCAAGCCCTAATCCCTTACTCACCACCTGCTTCATGTGGGAGGCTGTCCTCAAAGTGGAGGCTGCTAGAGCAGTTCTGTGAGGCTTCCCCCTGGGTATGTGACATGAGAAGCATACAATCGTCACAGGAAGGATCGCGCAGGAGCCCCGGAGACACTGCGGGTCTGGGTGCAGTGAAAGTGAAAGTCCCTCAGTCGCCTCTGACTCTCCGCGACCCCATGGACTATACAGCCCATGGGACTCTCCAGGCCAGAGTACTGGAGTGGGTTGCCATGCCCTTCTCCAGGGGATCTTCCCAACCCAGGGATCGAACCCAGGTCTCCTGCATTGCAGGCAGATTCTTTACCAGCTGAGCCACAGGAAAGCCCAACCAGCTGGATAAAGCGAGTGTCCTGCAAAGCCAGTGGTGTGAATTGTTTGGTTCCCAGTGCTCAAAAACGTTGCATTTACACTACACTGCAGTCTATTAAGTGTGCTGTAGCATTATGTCTTAAAAAAGTACGCATCTTAATTAAAAATACTGTATCGCTAAAAACGGCCAGCCATCACCTGAGCCATCAGCTAGTCTTAGTAACGATGTCAGAAATCAGAGATCACCAGAACAAATGCAATGACAATGAAAAGCTCGAGAGAATTGTGAGAATGGCCCAAAGGTGGCACGGGCACCTGAAAGTGAGCAAACGCTGTGAGGGAAGTGGCGCCAGCGGCCTCGCGGGGCGTGGGGCGGCCATGGACCCCCGGTGCATGAGAACCGCGGTGTCTGCAAAACGCGGTCAACGGAGGTCTGCGAGGAACTGGAACCCAAGCTGGAACATCAGAGGATGTGAAAGTTACAAAGCGTCCAGGGGTTCCCAGAAGAAAGACCTTTCTTCCACCCTGAAAAGCAAACCCGAGAACAAGAGGTTCTGTTTGAGTTTGGCCTTGACAGACGGAGGTGGGCGAGTACACCCCGCTTTGCACGGTCGTGGTTTCTAATCCTGCCGGGTGACCAGGAGAATGCTCACCTGTGCTTTGAGTGTTTTCCTAGGAGCAAAGGGAAGCTCACTGATGTATTCTGAGCATGTAAAATCAGGGGCAAAGTTCACATACACAAAAACACCTATGCACACACACACACGCGCGCATGATGAATGGTGTGCATTGATTTTTCTAAGTGTTGAGTTTGATCAATAAAATATACCAGCACTGAAAAACAGGGTGTCGGGAACGCTTGCAGGCAGAGAGGCAGGAGAGGGAAGGGGAGCAGCCCCAGGCCCCAGACAGGCCTGGGGAGGGCAGCTGTGGAGAGGCTGGCTGGTCCAGGCGGGCTGGAGGGGAGAGGGGAGACTGTGGCTGGTGGGAGAGGGGCTTGAGGGCTGATGGGGACACGTGGTGGGTGTCCTGAGAGGCAGCGTGGAGCTGGTTCCATTAGCACAGGTGCCCCAGGAGATGGGGGCAGAGCAGCATGAGGCCCGAGTCTATTAGTGAAAGTGTGGCTGGGGGTGAAGCTGGGGAAGGAGGGGGAGAGGAGCGCTTAGACCCGGGGGCAGAGATGGTCACAGGGCAAGTGAACCTTTGCACCGTGGCACGGGTGAGTCCTGAGGGCCTGGCAGCTGATGGGATGATGCCAAGGCGTGGTGCAGAGGAAAGAGTGAACGTGTGCCGGTGCCAGGCACGCCCATCCAGAGTCTGAGCTTTGTGAGTGGGAGACCGGCAATGCCATCACAAAGGTAAGGGCCCCGGGAGAGGCAGCGGTGGGTTAGTTAGTGTTAGTCACTCAGTTGTGTCCAGTTCTTTGTGACCCCATGGACTGTCACCCTCCAGGCTCCTCCATCCATGGGATTCTCCAGACAAGAACACTGGAGTGGGTTGCCATTTCCTTCTCCAGGGGATCTTCCCCACGCAGGGTTCGAACTTGGGTCTCCCACATTGCAAGCAGATTCTTTGGGAGTAAGTCTTACAAACACAGATTGGAGAATCCAATGAAGCCATCCAGCAGACAAGTTATAAATATGAGATCAGGGCTATTGAGAGCTATCAGAGCTGGGAAAACAGGTTTAGAAATTAGCTGTGTTAAGGCGAGAGATGGCAGAAAGTGAAGAAGAACTAAAGAGCCTCTTGAGGAAAGTGAAAGAGGAGAGTGAAAAAGTTGACTTAAAACTCAACATTCAGAAAACTAAGATCATGGCATCTGGTTCCATTACTTCATGGCAAATAGATGGGGAAACAGTGAAAACAGTGACAGACTTTATTTTGGGGGGGCTCCAAAATCACTGCAGATGGTGACTGTAGCCATGAAATTAAAAGACACTTGTTCCTTGGAAGAAAATCTATGACCAACCTAGACAGCATATTAAAAAGCAGAGACTTTATTTTACCAACAAATGTCCGTCTGGTCAAAGCTATGGTTTTTCTAGTAGCCATGTATAGATGTGAGAGCTGGACTATAAAGAAATCTTAGCACCAAAGACTTGATGCTTTTGAACTGTGGTGTTGGAGAAGACTCTTGAGAGTCCCTTGGACAGCAAGGAGATCCAACCAGTCCATCCTAAAAGAAATCAGTCCTGAATATTCATTGGAAGGACTGACGCTGAAGCTGAAACTCCAATATTTTGGTCACCTGATGCAAACAGCTAACTTACTGGAAAAGACCCTGATGCTGGGAAAAATTGAAGGCAGGAAGAGAAGGGGACGACAGAGGATGAAATGGTTGAACTCAATGGATATGAGTTTGAGTAAACTCCGGGAGTTGGCAATGGACAAGGAGGCCTGGTGTGCTGCAGTCCATGGGGTCGCAGAGAATCGGACACGACTGAGCGACGGAACTGAACTGAAGGTGATAGATGAAAATGCTCAAACGCCGAGCCCGAGTGAGAATAACTGGTTCAAGCCCTCCTGGCTCACCAGCACCACCAGGGAGGGTGGGGTCGCCTGGGACTCGGTGCTCCTCTCAGGGACCCCAATTCTGCCTCCAGGGAGGCTTCTTGTACCAGAGCTTATACCAAAGAAGTGACCCCAAAGTCCCCAGCACTCAGGATGCTCCCCCACCCCCTCCGTGGCTTTGGCCGGGCTCTGGAGAATGCATCTCCACTGGCTGGTGCCGGCAAGTCTTGGTGTCCCTTGGAGACACATGGCTCCAATCCCTGTCTCCATCACGGCACGGTGTTCTTCTCTGATGGTGTGTCTCTTACAAGAACACCCGACACTGGATTTAGGGTCAACCTTAGTCCAGCTGTGACTGTATCTTGACCTCATTGCACTTTCAAAGACCCTATCTCCAAATAAAGTCTCATTCATAGCTCTGCAGATTGGGACTTCAAACAACCTTTTGGCGGACACAAACCACACCCTCAGTCAGGTTAATCCTCCATGAAAATGACAGATTCTTAGGTTTTTCACATTTTCAGACCGCCGTTTAAAATATCCCCAAGCGATAATGCTTTTGCAATATGCTTTCAAGTTGGCAACTTCAGTCTAATCCTTCCTGAGAAGTCGGGGAGATGAGCTGAAGCAGTTGCTCCCGGGGAAGGGTGGCAGGATCAGAGACTTCCTGAAAAGTCACCAGACCGCCCCCTCCCCGTTGTCCTGGGAAGGAAGCACAGGCACAAGAATAACCGGAAGCAGTGATGTCATGGGCTGGGGGTGGGGGGTAGGGCAGGCACAGGAGATGGTGGGGGGTGCTTGGCTCAGGAGTGTGGTCTGTGCACAGGGCTGAACTTCAGGATGTACCATTGTGAACCTAACATCTGTTCCCTGCTAAAGAATTCTCTTTTTTTGGAAAGTAGATGTCATGTGTCCTCAGCATATAACTGATTGGCCCCTAGTTACGGGAGATGATGTGCTAATTACTGGATGAAAGAGAGGAAGCGGGAGGGAGAGGAAGGGGTGGGCAGCCGATCTCGCCGAGTCCACTCATTCTTCCCTCTGTCCCGCATCACAAAGCACATTGTGTTGAAAAGCCACGGTGACTCTCTGCCTGGCAATCCGCTGCCCCATTCGCGCATCTATCCACTCAGCAGATTTTTGCTTTGCATGTTCAGGCATCATGACAGGCACTGTGGTTAGTGGTTTGCAAAACAGACACAGTTCCTGCCCTTGTGGAGTCTACAGTCCATCGGGAAGAAAAGCATTCAGCAAATGGTCACACACATACACCTGGGTGCATGGGTGCGTGCTCAGTCACTGGTCGTGTCCGACTCTCTGCAGCCCTATAGGCTGTAGCCCGCTAGGCTCCTTGGTCCATGGGATTTCTCTAGGCAAGAATGCTGGAGCGGATGCCATTTCCTTCTCCAGGGGATTGTCCCAACCCAGGGATCGAACCCCAGTCTCCCGTGTCTCTCGCATCCGCAGGTAGCTTCTTTACAGTCTGAGCCCCAGGGAAGTCCATCGGGAAGAAAAGCATTAATCAAATGGTCACACAGGTACAGCTGAGTATTCCAGTCCAAATATTTAAATAACTGCCATTGCCTTGAGAGCATCTCATCGGGGGCCTGACTGATTCTGGGGTTCATGGAAAGCATCCTAAAGCACTGGTGTTGGGCATGAGAGCTGCAGGTGGAGTCTGACCTTGTGAGGGAGGGTGGGTCACGGTGCGGCCCAGATGGGGACTAGTGGCTGTGCCGTGGCTTCAAGACCCTCAGGAGTGGGGCCCGCCCAAGAGCTCAGAGAAGGGCGTGTGTCTGGAGCCCAGGGGCAGGGGTGGGGAGTGTGGGGAGACGGCGGGAAGGGCCAGGCTCAGTTCAGCTGTTTATATCAGGCTGTCCACAGATCTGCGTGAGCGCCAGCAAACTTGCTTGGCTTTGTAGGAAGAGACAGCTCAAGACACTGATCTGGGAATAGCTCTGAGATGTTTGTTGAGACACGGCTGTTTCACAAAGCCTCTGATAGAGCATCAGTTTCTATACATGGGAATACTATTAAAATTGTATTGAAAAAATCTTCCAATCTTATGGGGTTATTAATGAAATAAAATTGATCCTTGTGGTATGGGAAGAAAAATCAATCTATGTGGTAACAAGTGCTTGTGAGATTGATTTTCATTTTTTTGGTAAATTAATTCTTAGATAATGACTGCTTTATACTTTGTGCCTAGATTATAATGTGGTCAATTTTTTGTAAATATTTCATGTGAACTTGGAAAGAATGCACAATCTAAAGTGGTTGGATATATGTGCTTGTTCCGTAAGTCAGCTTTCTTAAATGTATTGTTTAATTATCCAAATATTTACTGATTTTTGTTCCTCTGCTTGATTTTTCATTTACTGAGAGATGTGTTAGGAATTCCTCCAAATGATAATGGATTTGTCTATTTCTCTTCTTGATCCTGCCAAATTTTGATGAATACATGTTTAAGCTTTATTATGTGGTACATGCAAGTTTGGAATTATTATGTCTTCCTGGTGAATGGAAACTTCATCAATATATAGTGATTTTTTTTATATCTTCACATGTGTGTCATTGTATGACATTAATGTTACTTCATCATCTTTCCCTTTATTAGTATTTGCATGACATATCTTTCCCATTCTTTTATTTCAAGTTTTCTGTGTCTCTTGTTTTAGAAATATCTCTGTAACTAAATCCATTTTAAAACAATTTGGCATTTTTTGTCTTTTGACTGGAGAGTTCAGCCCATTCACATTGATTGCAACTTTTGATATGTATTCATTTCTTTCTACATTTTTAGTTTGTGTAAAAGGTCTAGGTTTTGACTTTGCCTTACTTGCAATCTAATAATTAGCATGTTTCTATTTTAGAGATGTTGGAGGAAAACACAAGCTCCCAGATGAGAGAGAAGGGACTTCCTCACTCACGTGGCATAAGCACCATATCCCCTGGTTTCCTCTGCCCCCAAATACCCAAAGGGGCATTGCAAGGGGGCCAGATGGATGCTATGCTCATAGTGAACCTGCATCCCAGGCAAGGATCACTGAGCCTGGGGACCTTGTGTTTATA